CACATTTCTGCCGTGGCGAGGCAACCGGGCACCCGCCACTACAAGTCAACTCGCGAATCCCACCAGCCTTCAGTGCTTGGGTGGTCTAGATCGCTTCCTCTTCTAGCACCCTTCTTCCCCTTCGGGGATGGGCTTGCCGCTCCCGGGCAGGTCGGTTAAGCGTCTAAGATGGGCCAATATGGCTCCAGGATGGCCTCAGATAGCCCAAAGCCACAGGGGCCTCCCAAGGACGTCCGCAAGAGACTATATAAGATCCTTGTTACAAGACCAAGGTTGTTCAGTGTTTTGCTTTCTCGGCTTTCTGCTTCTGGTGGACTTCTGGGGCCTCAAAATGGCTTTAATATCGCCCAGAATAGCCCCCAACAGGGCCCAGAGGGCTCCAAGACGGATCCGAATACCCTCAATAGCAAGCCGAAGCTGTCTCAAGAAAGCTCCTTGAGACGATTTGTCGTGCTCCAGAGGGGCAATGCTAATTCACGCTGCCCTGTGTCAAAGATGTATGCGTATCGGGTGCATCCTTGGGAGGACTTTTGGATCAAGATACGGCCTCCAATTTGGTATAAGATGGACCAAGATAGTCTCCACCGTGCCTCCACCATGCCTCCGAATGGCCCCAAGGCGGCCCCAAGTGGCCTCGGAGCCTCTCAAGGACGTCACCGTGAGGGCACCATCACTCAAACCCCGAATGGTTTTCAATGATGTTGGTCTTCTCGCACGTTCGCTTCCGATGGGCTTCTGAGGCCCCGAGATAGCTCCAGAATCGACCAAGAGAGCCCCACCATGGGCCCGGAAGTGCTTCAAGACGGCCCGAAGGGCCCCCCCCAAGCACCCCCAGCGCGCCCCAAGAGGGCCCAGAAAGGCGACGTGTTGAGCTTCGACGGTGGGGTGGCTTGACTCAGGACTGCTCCTTCGCTGATCGATGCTTTCCCATATGGCTCCACAAGGACCCCAAGGGAGCCCCGCAGGCCTTCAAACTTGTTGACTCCTGGGTTGATCCTGGGCTTGGGTTTGACCGCTGAGCCCTCTCTTTCTTCCATGTTCTGCTTCTGCACCTCCCTGATCACGGCAGCTCGCCTGGGCATCGTTTCTGGATGGGCTGGTGGGGGCAAGTGAAGTGCCAGCAGTATCGTTCAGAGCCAAGCGGGGTGGGCGGTGCAGCTCAGAAGGGGGGACGGGGCAGGGGGAGAGGCGTGCAGGGAAGGGCAGGCGAGGGCGAGGACGGGGGAGCGGAGGAAAGGGTAGGGGGCTACAGGCGAGCCCTACGCCTACCCCCCACGATTTCTGAAGGGGGGGGTGGGGTTCACTTCACCCTCCTCCTCCCCCTCCTCCTCCTCCTCCTCCTCCTCCTCCTCCACATTTGAACCCTACCCCTACCCCCCACGATTTCGGAAGGGGGGGGTGGGATTCACTTCGCTTGGGAGCGCCCGAGCGAAGTGAACCCCACCCTCCCCCCCAGAAATCGTGGGGGCCAGGGGTAGGGCTCGCATGTGGCCCCCTAAAGGGGGGGAAGCGGCGAGGGGAAGCAGGGGATGGGGACAGGAGGGGGCGGGGGGAGCCCGTGCGCGACGCTGCGCGGGCCGCTGCGCGGGCCGCCCGGACGGCCGCTGTTCTGGATCCGCTGCGTGGGCCGCATGGCGTCTTCGCCGGGCGGCCCGCTCACGTGTTCTTCCACAAGAGGCGGGGACCGGAAGAACGAAACAAAGTTCCCCCTGCTGGTAAACCACGCTGGTGCTGCGGTTGCGCATTAAAGTGTTTCTAGGAACTGCAATCGCCAAGTGCCAGGCGCCACTCTCTCGGAAGGGCCAAGGCGAAGAAGAGAAAGATGTAGGGATACAGATGTGTATGTAGACAGACAGACAGACAGACAGACAGACAGACAGACAGACAGACAGACAGACAGACAGACAGACAGACAGACAGACAGACAGACAGACAGACAGACAGAGACGAGGCGAACGTCGAGGAACGTATTTCTAAATGTGTAGATTCATGGACATGTTTGCGTGCACCTCTCTCAGGAAGAAGCCCACATCGAAGGCGAACACTTGCTTGGTGGCCTGGGTTCACCTTTCCATTCCGCCCGAAGCTCCCCTTGGACTTGGGGCGCAACACCCGCACGAATCGCGACGTCAGGGGCTCCGATCCCTGAGGCCGTCGCCGACCTCTGTGCTTCCAGAGGGGCCCCGTCCTCCTGGGGCCCCCGCCCGCGAGGCCTGTGGAGCGCCCGCCTGCGCCGCGCTCCGGCGCCGCTCGCCTGCTCCACCGCCTCTGGCGGCGCCGGCTCGGCGCCTCCCTCCCGGGGTGCCCACCTGCGCCTCCCCCCTCCGAGAGGGTCTCTGTGGCTCGGGGCTGCCGAGCCCCTCTATAGATCTGCCCAGTGCCCGGCGCCAGCTCCAGCTGCAGCTGCCGGCCCCCCTGCGGCCTCTCACGCCGGGGCAGGGCCAGGGCGGCGAAGCCGCGCAGATCGGGCGAGGGCCCGCGGGAGGGGGCCCACGGCCGCCGCGCGGCAAAGGGGGGGCCCGAGGAGCGCCGAGAACGCAAGGCGGCTGGGCACGCGCCGCGGGGGTCAGACGCGGCCGCGACGCGTAGCGGGCGCTCCGGCGGCCTCCCAGTGGGAGACGGGGGGGGCGCCGAGAGCCCCAGGGCGGCCGCTCAAGGCGGGGGCGAGGGGGCGGCCCGGCGCCAGGGGCCGGAGGGCCGCGAGAAGCCCGGGAGCAAGGGCGCCCTGGGAGCCGGGGTCGGGGCATCAGCCCCAGCTGGGCGCGCGCAAGGCGGCAGCGGGCGCGCCAGGGCGGCCGCCAGGGGGGCCGCCCGCGGGGCGGGCGCGGAGGCGGGTGGGCGAAGAAGAACGAGCCCGCGCTGATATTCCACTGGCGCGCGGAGCGGAAGTGATCCGCTCGCAAGGGGGGGTGCGCAGACGAGGTGGCGAGGCGACTAACGGTCGCATGAGAGGAGGCAGGCAGCCGCGAGGTGAAGCGACTAACGGTCGCATGTCCAGGAAAGAATGGGGAGCCCGCAGGTGCGGAAGGGGAGCTGCAGAGATGGCGGCGGCTTGCGGAAGGGTCTACTGCCGCGCCCGCGGCCGGCGAGCGCCCGCGGCCCGGCTTGTGGCTCCCTGGTCTGTCTGCCAAGAGGTACCGTCCGTCCAATAATCCTTGCCCTTATTGTTTGGGGTACCTCTTCCATTTCCACGATTCGCGAACTTGTCGCGGACGGCTGCCCAAATTGACCCGAAGTCGAAGGGCCCTGTCCATTGCCGGTGGGCTGTAGTCGCAGTGCTGGCGCCAAGCCCGGAGGAAGTCCCCACAGGACCCGGGGTCCTGCTTGGAGTGATCTGCGCATGCGCGGCCAGTTCGGGAGGGGCGCGCGTGGGTCCACTGGTGCCAGATGCCACTGAAGTAGTCCCCGAGCTCTCTCTGTAGGCGCTTCGCTGCGGAGGCGCGATCGTCGCCGCCGATGGGGGAGAGTTGGACCTCCTCCAGCGGGGCCCGGTACATGTACCGACCAGTGTCGGGGTCGGTTAGGTCATTCGCAGGGGTGGCGTTGGGCCACGGGGCAGTCCGATCGTCTGTGTACGTCCGCTGGGCGCGGGCATGGCTCCACGAATCACTGCGGTGAGTGGAGCCCCAGCTGGACTAATCCGACCAGCCGCTCCAGTTGCGACTGTAGGGCTCGCGGTTGGAGTTGTAGTGCCTCCACGAGCGGTAGTTATCCCACTGGCCTCCACGGTTGCCCGCGTCGTGCATGGCACCTTCGTCCTGGGGCTGTCCCCGGGGGGGCGCGTTAGGCGTGGGAGATGCTGCTGTTCTGCCGGAGGGGGCGTCCGCGTCCCCGTCGCCAACCGTGCGAGGAGGGACACCCTCGTCGGACTCAGCCGCCGGTGAGGTTGGGCTGCAGTCGCGGGAGCCTGCTGGTGGACTGCGGGCGGTGTCGTCGGCTGGCGGAGGTGGGGATTTTTTTGCTCGCGAGCGCGCAGGGTGCCAGGCGCCGTCAAGGAATTGCGCGGGGGGGCCCGGAACAGTTCCAGGTCAACGTGCAGCGCCAGAATGGCGACGAGCAGGATGCCGTCGAACTCGAAGACCGCCAGGAGGTCGGAGAAGGTGAGGAACTGCGTGCAAGCACTCAGCGATACAGTAGTGTTCCGGAATGCCAAAAAGGAGCGTCGGCGGGAGCGTCACCAACGAGAGCGACGGGCGGGCATGCAGGCGCTCAACGGAGGAGTTCCGGATCGCCGATAGGGGGGCGGGTAGGAGTGGCGACCGCGGGCGAGCCGCAAGCCCGAGAGCCCAGGGGCACCCCCAAAGGAGGGGCATGCAATCATCATCAGGGCGCCCAGAATGGTCGCGGAGAGGGAACAAGATGCAGCCTGGCGACCAGGGTCGGCGGGGGGGTCCCAACGACCTCCGGCGCAAAGCTGGGGCGGCAGGGGGAACCAGGAGAGACCAGCACAGGGCGAAGGCCCCTCCTCTGCAGAGTCTGACGACGGAGCGTGGACTCACCGAAGACGTTGGCCAGAGCGCGAGGAGCCGCGGGGGGGCCCTGAGACCTCGCGCGCCAGAGCAGAGCGGTGCCGCCAGCGTAAACGGCGACGGTCCTGAGTATCGTCGTTGCCCGGGGGGGAGCCGGTAGCGACAGAAGGTGCTGGTGGCCGCGGACCGCGGCAGCTGCGACGAGGAGCAGCGGGGCAAGCGGAGACGGCACGCGCAGCCCGCACGGATACTTTTCGCTGGGGTTGGCTTTCGCCGGGCTTCGTTTCGCCGGGCTTCTTTTCGCCGGGCTTCGTTTCGCCGGGGTTGGCTTTCGCCGGGGTTGGCTTTTGCCGGGGGTTGGCTTTCGCCGGGGTTGGCTTTTCGCTGGGTTGGCTTTCGCCAGGGTTGGCTTTGGCCGGGGTTGGCTTTCGACGGGGTTGGCTTTCGCCGGGGCCGGGCGGGGAGTAGGCGCCGTCGCCGCTGGTGTGGCCGTCGCCGCCGCCGTCGTGACCCCCAGGAACCCTTGAGGCGCGCCGCTTGCCCAGGCGAAAGGGGTGAAGAGACGTGGGGGGGCGCTGGAAGGTGCCGGATGCTTTAGAATAGTTGATACATATCGCCGAGAGGTTGGCGATAAGCCCCCAGACAAAAGGAAGCCGCGCGTTCCTGGGCAGGGCGGGGCGCTCTGGCTCCAATCGGCGATGAATGGGTGATGGGGTATATATGTCTCCTGTCCCCTCTGAGCAATTTCTCTGTTTCTCTTCGCCCCCTGAAGCGGCCGGCGGTCGTGGTGGCGGTCGCAGCTGGTGGGGGCATTGGCGGTGGTACTGGAAGCTGCGGCGGAAGGGGGCGCGCCGAAACCTCCGACGCCCGGGAAAAACAAAACGGTAAGTTTTGTGCGCTGGGGTCGGCCGCAGGGGGGCCCGGACGGCCCTGGGACGCGCCAGGATAAAAACCTGTCCTTGGGAACGACTGCGGACCCGAGGGAGCCGCCGGCGTGAACTAATTCGGGGACCCTAACGGACGGGTCGGGGCGGGCGGGACACTAAAAAATTCGCCGGCCCAACGGGCCAGAGGCGTGCTAAGATCTCCGGTAACTGGTTAACAATTCTCTAGTTCGCGCGCGCGGGGCGGCCCCTGGGGGCCCCCGGACGAAAAGTACCCCGACCAGGTCCCGGCCGGGTCCCCCCGAGCGCCCCATGAGCGCACCAACAGGGCTCCGAAAACGTCCCCGAGGACCCAAACAAAACCAAGAGGCCCCCAAGAGGCCCCCAAGATGGTACACGAGGGGTCCGACATGCCACAAGATCGCTCCAAGACGCCCAAGATGGCCCCCAGACGCCCCAAGAGGCCTCCAAGAGCACTCCCAAGAGGGCCTCCGGAGGCAAAATTCATTGATTTTCCTTAGGTTTTTGAGAGATTTTGGAGCTTCCACCTTTTCGGCTTCCCGACGCCCCAAGACGGCCCAAGAGGCCCCCAAGATCGCCCCAAGAGGGCCCAAGAGGCCCCCAAGAGGGCCCCAAGATGGCCCAAGAGGGCTCGAAGACGGCCCAAGAAGCCTCCAAGACGGCCCAAGAGGGCCCCAAGAACGCCCCAAGAGAGGGAACACGAAACAACATTTCCAGCCCTCGGCCCCAAGAAGCCCCTCCGAGGCCCCAAGAGGCCCCTAAGAGGCCCCAAGAGGCCCCGACGAGGCCCTCAGGAGGCCCCCAAGAGTCCCCCAAAAGCGCCCCAGGAACCCCCAAAGCGCCGCATTGACACCAGGCCCTCGGGCAAACGGCAGACATGAGACTGTATGGGCCGGCGGAATGAGCGAAGCGATTAAATAAGAGCGCGCTCGAGTGGGCACGCGTGGGCCCACGCGTGAACCCTAGCAGGCGGGTCCGGTCGGGCGGGCGGACCCGAACGGGCGGGTCGGGTCGGGTCGGGCCGCGCGGACCCTAACGGGCGGGTCGGGTCGGGCGGGCGGGAGCACTAAAGTGTGGGTCACGCCCGAACGACACGCGTGAACCCTAACGGGCGGGTCGGGTGGGGCAGGCGGACCCTAACGGGCGGGACGGGTCGGGTCGGGCGGACCCTGACGGGCGGGTCGGGTCGGGCGGGCGGGACACTAAAGTGTTGGGCGTGCCGGAACGAACACGCGTGAACTTTTAACGGGCGGGTCGGGTCGGGTCGGGCGGACCCTAACGAGCCGGCGGGTCGGGTCGGATCGGGCGGGCCCTAACAGGCGGGTCGGGTCGGGCGGGCGGGACACTACGGTGTGAGGCGCGCCGGATCGAGCACGCGTGAACTTTAACGGGCGGGTCGGGTGGGGTCGGGCGGACCCTAACGGGCGGGAGGGTCGGGTCGGGTCAGACGGACCCAAGAGCGCTCCAAGAGGGACGATTCCTCTGTGTGCTACCCACTTCCCTGATCAAGGCAACTCCTCTGGGCATCGTCTCTGGATGGGATGGTGGGGATACGCGAACGTCAACAATTTGAATGGCACTTGTCTTGCTTTTCCTTCACACTTGATACCCCGTTGATTCACAAGCGAGGCACAAGTGCTCCACCATTCACTCACGGTTACCGCACAGTGAATTTACATCTGCTCGCAAATGACACCGAAACACTACGAGACGGCGCACAATGACTCATACTCGACCCACGGCCAGGCCCCGAATTGCCACACAGTCGGCTCAAAACCAGTGTCCTGAAAAACCCAGCAGTGGGTCACAGTTCATTCGCAGCTGCTTCGCAGCTGAATCTGTACTCAATCACGCTTGGCCCACAGCCGACTCGCAGCGGAGAGGAGGGGGGGGCAGGGGGGGGGGGGAGGGGGGGGGGCAGAGGGGGGGGGGAGGGGGGGGGGGGAGGGGGGGGGGGGGGGGAGGGGGGAGGGCGGAGGACGGAGGCCCGAGGAGCTGGCGAGGCACAGACGCCGCCAGCGTGCCGCACGCGCGTGATCCGCTTGACCGAGTAGCTTTGCCTCGGGTGGACGGCCCGCCGCTCCCCCCTCGGGGGAGGCCGTGTGTGCCGAGCTCGGGTGTCCCCC